AAGGGCAAGCATGTTTGGGGTGACGGGGATTCGAACCCGCGACCCTCAGATTGCGAGTCGAGTGCCTTAACCACCTTAAATATTAGTTGTTGCTAATTGTTATTACCCGAAAAAAACTGAAAATTATTCAAACAGATAGGGCTAATAAAGTACAGAACTGTACAATTGTGTGTGAAGCAGCATGAATATGATAAGATTATTGTGAAATATTTGTTTGACCTAAATCTTTAAAGTTTCTACCAACGAAAGTAAATAGTATAATCAATAGATCTATAACAAGGGCTCTAGCAGGTGTAAATAACATCAATTTATCCTGTCAAAACTCCAGTTTTTTTTTTTAAAAGTCGACATTTTTTTTAAGGCGTTCCTTCTTTTGTAAACAGACTAAATAATGGAAATACTTAATAACGTTAAAATATTTTTGAACAATATGTTTTTATCTCCTGTTTTATGGACAGGCGTAGACTCTGAAACATCAAACAATATTTTAAAACACTTTACATACTTTTTGAAACTTAGTGAACTTGGGTTACATGTGCCACTCCCGAACATGAGAACATTAAATGGTTTCTAAAAGTAAGAAAGAAGAAGTATTAATTAAATCCATTCATTCCATCTTTAAGCCTAACTGCGAGGTCTATCAGTACCCTCCCATACCATACAGGGTGGAAACAGCCTCTTCGATTATTTAGTAATAAGGAATACCATACTTAAAATAAATGTTGTTTGTAAGCTATTTCTAAAAAAAAAGTCGAAATCTTGGCAACAAATAGAGAGTTTAAAATAAATAACATTTTGACAAAGTTCTTATTCTGTATACTGTTTCTCTTTATATCAAAAAGCTGGTGAACTTTTGAAATTATACAGGAAAGCTACTCAAAACATTGTCAGTTTTTATGACAGTAAAATCTGAGGACACTGTGACTTAAGTTGTGAAAACTTAATTGTCCGAAAAGGTTTCTCGATAAAACTTAAGCTTTACTTTTAATAACATGCGTCTTTCTGAAACTTACAAAACAACTCTTTAACTAAGCGTTTAAAAAAAAGTTGATTAAACAAAATATTTATATCTGCACCATCTTGAATATAATTTACATTATCTAATATTTCACAAGGTAGGATTTTGAATTCTAGTAAATGTTCTAGATGTTTAAAATACATGTTTATCAGGTAATAAATGGTTGACAGATCATTTTCATATACGGACAGCCTGACCTGCTGTTGAAATTGGTAAATAGTGACGATGTTGCGACACACTGATGAAGAGTCACGTTAGTGAGACGAAACGTTGTCGTCACTTAACGGTTTCAGTGGCAAGCTGTCCATATACAAAAACATGTTTATTAATGTATAAGTTGTGTTGAAGTTTAAGAGTTGCCTAAAAGTTAATTTTTTTGTTAGGAATACAGTTTTTTTTTTCACGTTACACCTAATTCAATTAAGTTACGCGAGTGATGATTCATTGCGAGAATGTCTTAAAATAGCGATGTCAGAAAAACCGAGTACAAAAATAAAAATAGACTGAATATTGTAAGCACCTCTGTGGGCACAGATCTTTAAACATACTTGAGTATTGTTATCATAAATATTAAATGACATTTTAGTATGCGTTTCAAATAATTTAACCTCTTTTCATTGTTTCACTACAGGCCTGGTTCTCGAAACAGCAGCTAGTTATGTTGGTTCTGTTCGTCAACATCAGCTTGGCCATCATGTTCTTCAAGCTCTTGACATAATCTTGAGCCAACAAATCGCAATTTTAAGTCCAGATTCCACCGACATGTAGCTACTGAAATGAAACAAAAAGAAGCAGTTACTGTTTTTTTTTACTGCTCTCTGATATTTGTTTCCACTCTTCGTACTAGCAAATGTGTGGAGCTTGGCCACTCACACAAGTATGATGAGAATTAATTAAATGAACACATTTCCAAGGAGAACCGTTGTGTGTGATATGAACAAGTGCTAAATATGAAATTGTGTTTTAATACAAACAACTTTATATTTAAGTTAATACATTAACCAGACATAAAGAATTATAGATTACAGTTAACAGTGTGTAACGTAATTACATATAGTTTTAAATCACCCACAATCGAACTATGTCAGAAAATATTCATAAGGAAAAGAGGATATTTGAATATGTTGTTCTTTATATGCTGTGCCATCTCGAAAATTTCCCTTTTATCTGAAACCGAATCGAACAGAACATCCTTTACTTCAACATGAAGTCTTCTGACAGGTAGGTCTACTTACAGATCAATGAACAAAATTAATGTAAGTAGTATCGTTGAATCAGATTGGTTGTATTTCCTATTCTATATTTGACGAACTGGAAACGAGAAGTGGTCAGAGGAATTGACGAAGTATGATGGCATTACTGGCGGGTGTTTATCTTGTCTATTGAGTACCGAAGACGACAAAAAGATATAACTATAACTATTTTTGATTATGCCCTCCTGTCTAAATGTGTACTTTCAGTTAGTTCTGAAGCCTTTTTTTTTTGTGCTTTCGCAAAGTACGTTTATTTCTGAATGTGCTTGTACGGAATGTTATCTCCCTCATGCGGTGATTTTACTAATTACTGACACTTTATAGCCAATCCATATCTGTTGTTATGATTTTAAACAACTCATGTTCAAAGTGGTATTACATATTTCCACATACGTCAGGAATTTTAAGTTACTATTCTGTAACTAGTAGTGTTTTCATACTTTTTTTTAACTATTAAATAAAATATATTGATACATTTGATCGTAAAGTTTTTCTAACAACCTGTTTTCTGTAATTGAGATGATTGATAATTTTTATGATTCTCTGTTTGTATAATCAAACGTTTGTGGAACTGATGAATAACCAAATAAATAAATGGTAGCTTCATCAAAGGAACAAGATCAGATCAAGCCAACGTCTGAGTTATTAAACCCATCGTTTGTGTATAGTGATGTGAAAATGCAATTAAAGAACTTTTATATACGCTGGTTTGAAGGCTTATATACCCTGGTTTGAAGTTGGATTTCTAATAATCTATTTTTCCTTTTCATTCCTAATTTTATCTCAGTTTTAAAAAATATACAACCACTTACTTTTAAATAAAATTCCTGGAGTAGTCTATATAACCATAAAAAATATATAGAAATAAAGTATTTATCATATAGTTTTCGTATCAGAGTTACAGTTTACAAAGAAGTGAACAACCAACTCTAAACAATTATTTAAAACACATGAGTGTGTGCGTGTAAGTTCGCTTATAGCTGGTGAACCGCCTAGCCAATTGTTACCAATCGTGGCATGTAAACTTAAATCCCCCAGATAATGCCACTGGGATCGGCGTTTGAATCTGTCCCTACTATGTCATCACCCAGGGTCCCTTATGTTTTCCCCGTGCTTTGAGCTGGTACTTCAGCAACTATAATAATATAGAGAAAAATAATAGATGGTATGTATAACTTCTTGAAGATCAGAAAAACTCTTACGTGAGTTGCTATTAATTTCATCCATCATCTAAATTCAAACTTCAAAATTTCTTAGGTGTTATAAATATGGCCGCATTTTAGGAAATTAAGTGAGAGAACTGGTGCAGTACACCAGCAAGATCACAGCAGAAACTGTTAATTTGATACGTGGATGTATGATAAATATTAAAGTAAGGCGAAAATATTGAAACCTTTTTAATATATAAAAATATATATCATTTGACAAGTACATGTGAAGAAACTAAAAAAACAGATGAAATTTGTTTGTTCGTTGTTAACCAAAGAACTATGCTGTACCAGCCGCAGGGATAGCACCCCGAATTTTGTTTTTATAATAAAAGCCCTCAAGCATGTCAAAGAGTCACCGTAGGTATGGGGGGGGGGGGTGATGGAAGAAAAATAAAATAACAAAACGTTAATTAATGGAATAAAATACAAAAATTAATCCAAAGAAAACTACTGCTTTGCAGTGACATAGCCAGACATAGAAAAATTAATTATTTCATCTTTAACACAAACCTACAACACTGCTATGAGATGTCCAACTAAGGCTAAGCTTAAGACACTGATCTGTAATACAGTGTTATCTTTGTTAGCTTAGTCGTTCACAATTGGAAAAATCTTGATAGTGATAGCTCCATCATCTCACACGGTTGATGGGTTGGCAGCCTCACAAGGTCAGGTTGCTGGTCACCAGAATCAGACTAACCAAATAAGAAGACATAACCTAGAATGTAAGGTCACATTTGCAAATTATCAATAGCTCGTGTCAAATAAAATTCAGAGAAACACTTGAATTTCGTGAATTAATCTAAGAACAAAAAGTTAGAAGAGAAGTACAAGTTATAAAATTATTGCAAGAACAAAATATATTTATTGTGCAGCAAGTACTCTTGCCACCTTCAACTCTGGATGGAAATTAAAAAGTACGAGAAATGTTCGACAACAAACTGCTTTTGAGTTTTTTACATGTTCTGATAAGATTAGTGCCAATCAAGAAGAAAATATCAAGAACAGAATGGATTCCAATGATTTTTCGCATGTTGTTTATCTAATTTGGTATCACCTCTAGTAACAAACTTTTATATATAGATGATTCACATAATGGTCCTTTAAAAAAAATCATAAATCTCCTTTACCTTAATGTTAGTTAATTTTACGTACTTTGAAAATATATCACACACTTTTAATTAGTCAGTGATCATAAGCACCCTATTATACGAACAGCAACTAGTTATGAAACTTTTATTCTGTCCACCTTTTAGTAAATGAAACATTAGTCAGAAAAAAGTACATGGAAGAAAAGTCCAAAAGTGCACATTGAATATAAACTTTTTTAAGGGTGAAAATATGGAAAAGAATATTTAAAAAATTGAAAAGATGACAAAGTGCATTAACCGATGCCTTTACTATTACGCATCTTCTATTAAGATGTGAAAATCTGTAAATTCTCTCAGAATATCAGATAGTAAGTTGCTGGTGATCACAACTGCGAGCACACTATTAAATAAGATGAAATAAAATTAATGGACGGTTGTGAATTGAGATAGAACTTATAAAGTGACGTTTTTTTTATTAAGTAATTGGTTAGAATGAAATTATTTCTCATGTGCGAAAGTCTGGAACTTTTTAAAAATAAAACTGCATAATAAGGACGTTATATATATTTATATAAGCTACAGCCAACTGACCGGGTATTCAGGAGTTTAAGACATTCTATTTTGTTATTAGCACCACCGAAAAGTTTTTTTTTCTTGAACTGAGAACCGGTTATTAACTGTGTATGCGATTCGTGACACTGATTCTGTTCAACCCAAATCTATATATTATTCTTCCAATTATTCTGTAAACCATGAATGTGGTCTGATTTAATTTAAAAGCACGTATCCTCTAAGTCACTTATATTCATGACGGATTTGTCTTCTATCCTTTTGGCTGTTTTTTTAGTTTTTACGTATAGTCTATGTGCACCATACGCAATCGTGGAAATTATTCACAAACGTCATTATGTTAAAATAGCTGTGCAACACAAACTTACCTACTTTGTAATTTAAAGATTAGTATGTATTAAGACAAGATATTACGTACACATAAGCTATGTTATTATCATTACCAAAGTAAGTAAACTACGTATTATTTGACTATCATTTGGGAAAGAGTTCATGTAGAGACATTACGTTTTGATATTGTTGCTGGCTGCAATAACATCCTATTTTTAATCTGTGTATGGTTTAAGAGTGGACGGGTCGTTTTGTAATCATGTTGATAAAAGTATATTAAAGTATTCGCAGACTTAGAACGCTAGAATTCGGATTTCAATACCCGTGGTGGGCAGAGCACAGATAGCCCATCGTGTAACTTTGTGCTTAACTATAAACGAACAAACAAAAACGTAGGTTATTGTTGAAATTTCATGGTACCCCACACCTGATAGCAATACTTGTACTTTAGATAGATAATACATGTTTCGTGGTTTAACCATTTCCCCTAAGTTTAACAATATTTCCTTATTCTATACTCTGTGGAACTGCTTTCACTTGGTGACTTTTATGGACCAAACTACCACAAATAAAAGAACATTCTAGAAAATATATTTACAAATGGTGGTAACAGTTAAATTTTGCAATAAACTATCTCGCTTTTATGTACCAAAACCTATTTGAAATTTATAATATAAACTGACTTTTGTTAGTATCTATTTTTCTAATAAGTCCATGAAGTTTATATTTTGATCAATACAACTTGGTAATGATTCTTAGGTGAACAGGAACTAAACTGAATCTAACTTAAATTTTACAGCATATGAATAACGACGAAACATATGACGAAACATACTAATATCAAGTTGTTTTATTTTGGCATGTTTATGAAACCCCACATACAATTTCTACTAAAATAAAATTTTAACTTTTTTTTTCCACTCAAACGTTTTTTGGATGGATTACACATATTATTATGTTAGATCAAACCAAGACAATAACATTGTAATCATCATTGTTAAGACCATTAAAATTAAGCAATTCATAGGGGTAATGATATGCACATCAGGATATAATTAATATTACACACATTATCAAATAGATTCCATGGGATTGGAAAGTGTGTTACCTTTAAGGATAAAGAGCTGGAAGATACGGGATGACGTTCCCATTCTCAGCTGAACTTTGGGAAGAACAGTGACGAAAGGGATGAAGTATGTTTTATGTTCTCATTTATTGCTGATATGGTATACTTTCAAGAACAAATACTTATTTACAACTAAAATAGAGTAGGAAACTGTCTCAACTAATTAGACGCAGATTGAATTAATCGGTTCATGTCGCTATCGCTAGGATTAATATATGTATCGTAAAATATGGGTGGAGATAAAGTAAGAAGCCTATGTCTGTGGTTGTTAGGTGCTCGCGTTGAAAGCGCTTAGTCCAACGTTCGCTACTGCACTTGGGAAGCTTAATATTTGGAGTTTCTTCCCTTATCGATGGCCCGGCATGGCCATGTGGCTAGGGCACTCGACTCGCAATCTGCGGATCGCGGGTTCGAATCCGTGTCCCGCCAAACATGCTCGTCCTTTTAGCCGTGGGGGCGTTATCATGTGATTATCAATTCCACTCTTCGTTGGTAAAAGAGTAGCCCAAGAGTTGGTGGTGGGTGGTGATGACTAGCTGCCTTCTCTCTAGATTTCCACTGCTAAATTAGGGACGGCTAGCGCAGATAGCTCTCGTGTAGTTTTGCGTGAAATTCAAAACAAATGAAACCAATATCTTAGCTAACTTTTTATTCTATTAAAGAAAATTGTCAAAACATCTTTATTCAGAATATTTAGTTGGGTGTGTGTATGTGTGCTTGATTATCTGGAAACTCTTTTCGTGTCTTTTACAATAAAAAAATCCATAAGTATCTCTAGATTTCTTTCACTATAAGGAGCACAAAGAGTGTAATAATAATTTCAATTAAATTTACAAAAAAAGTCAGATATTTTTCAGCTTCTAAACTAAAAGCTTAGAACGTAAATGTATGACACTTGCTTATATCTTTGGTGGCACTTTTCAGTAAGTCTATGAATTTATATTTTGTTGTTTAACAAAAATACTATTTTAAGTCACTTAAACTTTATGCTATGTAATACCATTACCGGCTTATCTGGAACAAAAAAAAAACCTCCTCGTCAGTACCATCTAGTGACCAAAACTAACACTATTACTTAATAGTTTGTTTTCAGTTTTATTATGTCTTCGGATTTACACTGATAAAATCAGGGGTTTAATTCCCCTCGGTGGACACAGCAGAAAGCCCGATGTGGCTATGCTATAAGAAAAACATACACTATTTTATTGTTTACGTAAAACATCTAAATTATAATATTTTTGCGATTATTATCATAGTATTAAGTCTAATTGTCTGATGCAATGTTACCTGGCTGCCCTTCGAAAAGTCAGTGCATTAGATACTGGAACGAAATGCCAGTAATTGATTACTATGGTATGTTTTAAACA